GATGACCACCCACTCAAGATCGTCGTTCGTTGGTCACGCCCGCGATAATTGATGAACTTTAGACTTCGCTAATGCTTTCGTTTCCCCGGGTGTAAATAGCCGGGGGGAATCAGTACCCTCGCACGGCGCTTCGCGCCGTCGGCTCGGGGAGTAATATTCTCACAAATCTCAGTGCTCCATCTTCATTTAAGCAAATGTTTAAATTCTTATCTTCTATTCGACAAAGAGCTCTGACTACAGCTTGCGCATATGACCTTCAACCCCCCCTTCCCGCGTACTGACTCTGGTAAACGAACATTTCTGTACAGTGCTTCCATTCTTTTTAATTGCTTAGATAGCGATTGTAAGCAACTTGCTGCTTTGCCATCTTGCTCTTCGTATACCAACGCCAAACAAAAAATTCGTAAAATCTTTCTTAACAAGCTTAACCTTACTAACCATATCGAAGATCTATTTTGTATTTATTGTAAATATTTACTAAATTGTAATTGTATTCATTACTATTTTACTATTTTTTTTCCCATATGTAAATAGTCGTAATATTTAATACTTTTTATGCCTGTAGATATAAAAATAGTGCGAGGGCCGTATGTTATATAACTTTTATGGTTAATACGTTTTCCTTCGTGAATTAAAGTTTCTATTTTATTCTATGCTATGCTACGACCCTGACCCAGTTTCTAAATCTTGCAAAGGCAAGCTCTCGTCCAAATCTTCGTTCATTTTCAAAATTTATGGTTTTTTTCGAGAAATTGACCGATTTGCCAATAAACAGTTACAATATTTCACAGTCCCTAACAAAACGCGTTGGAGCATTCCCATGGTTATACCCAATTTTCATCGCATCCCCGTGAATCATTGCATTAATAAGCAATGGACTGTGGAAGAGTCAGATAACGACACTCTATTACATCGACCATCTTAATTTGTTCACAACAGTTATTAAATAGTTTCTCCACAATTTCTCTCTCCGTCCTTACCCACGCTTAAAAGAACAAAGAGGAAAATTTAAAAAAACAACTTTACACTTTGCTACCACCTAACAATGAAAATCCATATATTCTTGAATTTGATAATATTTATCTGTGCCTTTTGTGTGACAAATCGTTACAAAACTGCTTCATTAATTCCTGCGTCTGCAACTTTGAAACTTCAATTTTAGTGTATATTACTGATATATTTAATGTTATTTATTAGTTAATTCTACATTAGTTTAGCTTCCAGTGTAAAGTTTGGAGTAATTAGGTAGGTTAATCTTCGCGATTTATCACTGTAAGTCGATTCTAAATTAAATAATAAATTATATATAACAATTACAACTAAATGGAAGCCATTTACTTAAGTGATTTACTACTTAGTTCTTTCGGTCCCGATAAAAAACATTACATATGGCAAAGTAAATGGCTGGAATAGCATAAATATCACTTACATACTCGACTGCTTCTCGTGGGGGTTAAACACAAAATAGATAATCACCGTCTTTGCGTACAATCAGTAAAGCAAGGGGATACATGTACATTAGTTATTGAATAGAATTATTCGTTTGGACAAACAACGAAATTAAAGTAGAGGAATTCAAGCGAACAGCTTTTATAGTTATACCTGTCGTTAAATTTTATCATTCTTCTTTGCTCCGTAGGTTTTTATTTTGGTCAGAGCTAGAGGTTCTAAAGCGATTAAGCTTGGCTAACGGCTTCCAAAAAACTTTGACGACATTCTCTGAAGAATCGTATGCTATTAAACTTGATTGCACCAAAAAACGAGTGTACTGGCTCGCCAACACAGCCGAAATAATTTCCAGTGATTATGATGGCAAAGACAAGAAAACCATTGCGAATGGCTCATTTACCGAATCTATACTGGGGGTATTTGGAGATTCACTGTACTACCAGAACACTAATCTACATGGTATAAAGGAAATGAATGTATCAACCGGAAATATATCCCGCAGTATTTTGGTGGACAAGGTTTTCTATGATGACCTCATCTTTGTAGACAACTCCGCACAACCAATTGGTGAGTTAGAATAATCATAATTATGCCAAGTTCCTTGCATGTTTGCATGGCGAAACAGCTCTAATTGTTTTGTTTTGTGGAAACACACATATTTAGTTAGCAAAGGTTTTGATCGATAAGAATATAGTTAGGCAGATAAAAGGAAAATACACTCACCATATTGAGAGGCAATTTAAATTTTCCTCCATCTTGTGCCCTGAAGGCTAGTATGTACATTTCTGCAGGTCGACGGCGTTAAACTATCTAACTGAATATACTGTTAATAATTTTATTGAAGAATTCCAATTAAAATAATTCAAAATTAAGGTAACTTTTGTGCCTTCAACTTCCATACATCTTGCTTGGTAATGTATTTTGCCTGCCCTACTTTTACTTGTCACTGGGAGAGTGTTGCCACTCTATGGTTTATTTGGGAAACCAGAATGAGTTAAGACAAATGCCAAATTATGGTGTTCCAATTGCGAGATAATTCTGGAATAAACAAGGATATAATATATGTTGTAAAGTTGAGCACAAAAATGATAATGGGAAATGTGACTCAACTCCAAACCAGAGACACCAGAACCATTGGTGCAATGATCAGGCTTAATGGTATAACAATCAAAAGTGACCAGGATATATACAAGGTAGAAATTTCCTTCCCACTTGCAAGGAAAGCAACATAGTTACTAAGTAATTGCCATGCCAGTATGCCATCCAGTACTGGTGTTCCAAATTGTTTAATTACAGTATAAAGGTTATCATAGGATTTATGTGCCACCTGAACTTCCATCACTCCTACAACCCCGTGCCAATGTAATATCTTTTCATTATCCAGCAGCACTATTTTAGGCGGGGGTATATATATGTTATTTGCAGGTATTTGGGGAATATTTGAGTGCTCCAAAAGTCTTGTCATTGATTAACCTTGCATGCTAAGTTGGTACATATCACACAAAACCTGCAACAATATATAAAAACTGCATACATGCATGACATACCGTTTGCTTTTGAGGGAACGTTTGGAGTTAATAGCACTGTCTAAAGTAATATGTAAATAACAAAAATTGTAATTTCTCAACTAAATTGTGAAATATCCAGAATTACAGATTGCCAAAGTACACCAAAAAGCACCAGCAAGAAGCTGTTTTCTTAACAAAAAGAGTGCATTTAAGTTAAGCAGTTAAGCTTACGTTGAGCCTACCAATTTTATGTGAAATAAGACAAAGCACAAATAAAAGTGAATAAAATACCTGTTTATAGCTCGCTCATTCAAATATCATTCGAATATTTGTTTGTTGTCTTTCCCGGGAAAAAATCACACGTACGACTTGCACATCTTTGAACCAATAACCAAATTTAGAAAAAAACATCTCGAAAACATTTTAAAAATCTATTCAAATCATCGAGGAAATACTATAAAATCCAAGCAAAATTGAAAAACTTAAAGTTTTTTCAGAAGACCACGGGTGTGTGGAAATTGTAGCGGGCTCAGATCCGAGGATAGTCAGTGGTAATTACCATGAGAAATATGGACCAGTTGTCCTGGAAATAGCGACAGCAAAAGAGGAAATCTTAGGGGGCTTCGGTGGCCAAGTGGTTAGCGCACTTGCCTTTCACCTCTGAGGCTGCAGGTTCGAGTCTCACTAAGTACCTTCCCAATGCGGCTCGAACCCAGTCCCCATGCGAAAAGAGTAAAAGTCAACGCTCTGCCGAAGGCCGTGGGTTTTCCCCGGGTACTCTGGTTTCCTCCCACTGGGAAAGTTGACAGGGTGGGTTAGATAAAAAGGGCGCACAGTAATTGGCATATGCTGTTGTGGTGACCCTGCCCTAGTTGGCAAAGCTAAATAAATAAATATAAATAAATAAAAATCCGCCATATTTTGGCTTTTTTTTGCCGAGTATCTTCTCCAGTAATATAGTATAGCTCAGTGGCTTTGTACAATCTTATTGTGTTGCCATGGCTAACATGAACTCGAACTCCCCGGTAAATCAAACCAAATCCAATTTCCCCTGGATTTAATACTATATTTTATAGTAATTTACTCCTGTTAACTCGACCTCACCTAACTGGAATTTTTCGCTAATTTGAACGAATTGCATTTTTCCTTGGTCAGATTAATTAAATACTTTGGTTAACTTTAAACAACAATATGGCTTCTAACGTCCATAATTAACAGTTTGTTTCAATACCGTTACAACTCTGGTATTACTGATCTTATAATTTTATTGTTTATACAAAGCGCGGGTCTTTGGAAAGTATTAGGAAACACTAGAACCATCTGTAAATTGCACCGTATTAGCTCACAATTGTAAGTGAATAATAAAACTACCATAACTTATTAATTATTAACCTAATAAACGAAATTTAACACCACCCTCGTTAACTCGAACCTCCACTAACTCAACAATTTTTTTTTGTTTCCCTTGAGAGTTCGAGTTAGCGGGTTCTACTGTATAGCCATATAAATTACCGTGTCATTTTACATTCTCTCTCGCTCACACTATCCGACTAGGCTAACAAGTGATTGACAGATTACACACTGTAAAAACTGATAGGTTAAAATAACCAAAAAAAATAGGTTATTTCAGTTGGTCTAGGACAACCGGTTTAAAATAGGTTATTTAAATAGGTAGAAATAACTAAAACTAAATAGGTTAAAACAAACTATTTCTAGTGGGTTATT